AACTCTTGTATGTACAGAGGAGGGTTGCGTTTCCACCTGTAGTAACATTCACTGTCTTCTCAGGGACGGTCACCACAACACCGCTGACGTGGCCTGTGGGCAGTAAGCGTGGTGAGGAGAGATCAGCCGGGGCCGACCCTGGGAGCCGTGCGGGAGCGCCTTGCTCCCTGCGTTATCGAAGAAACCTGTAGGACATGTCTATTCATTCTCCTTTTCAGTACAGTTTCCCTTGGGCTTTGTGTGGAAATTTTAGTGATAACAGGCTGGCAGTGGGTAAAAGGTAACAAGCAAATAAATGCCCCAGACTACCTGTGCGCTTAAAACAAGCAATATTCTGAAAAAGCAGAGTTCCTAAAAATGTTCTCACTTGCAGAGACTTGTCCTCTTACTGAGAGCCTGTGGCTAAACCAAACCTTTCTTCTGCACTCGCAGTGCTCTCCTGCACCTTGCACTCTCATTCGCAGCTGTCTCTAGCCCTCTTTTACACCCTTCTTGCCCTCTTTTTTTGCAGCTGTTCCTTTAGATGTCTGATCTTCTTTACCGTGGATCACCATCTTCTACAGTGTTATCTCTTACTAAATGCTTACGTTCTGACTTGGACTCAGTGGCACTGTTGGGTTCCCCCAGGCCGGAGGCCAGCAGCCTTTCTCTGCTTTTGCTAATTACTTTGCTTTTGTTTAGGTTTCTTAGGGCTTACATGCAAAAACTAAACTGCTCTTTTCCAATGCTTTGACATTGGAAACGTCAAGCTAAGCTTTTTGGAACTGCTTTTATTGTGTGGGTTGTGAGAAATTCTGTGATAACTTGATCAACCCTTTCTGTTGTGCTCAAAGCAGAAAGGGAGCAAAAATAACTTGTGAGCCCTTTCCCATAATGTTCCAATCAGTCTTAGCTACACAGCCTTATAAATGAAAGGAATCGAGCACCATCTTACAGAATTTATCTGTTTCTGTTCTCCACGTAAGTTACTAGCAATGGTGACATATGGCAACAAAGCTAGAGCTGTCAGAAAAGTAAGTCTGAATGTCAAGGTTTTGCTAGATCACTGAGGCCAGTTTTAAAGCTACTGCCTAAAGATTCTGAAGGAGAACATACTTCTTTTGAATGTGATGGAAAACATAAGTCTTTTGGAGCTTTCTGTGCAAAACAGGCAAGGTGAGAACTTCATGTTATAATTTGCATGTGGGCTTACTGCACATATGAATGATAGAGGCAAAACATACAAAACTTTCTTCTCAGTGAAATATCTGTACATCTTATGTTTGGGTGCTGCTTTTGAGAGTTTAAGCAGAACTGCCAGTAATACCAAAAGAGTATTTTGCTCAAACTATCAGCCCTATGAGAGAGAACATTGTTTAAAAAAGAAATATAATCTATTTTGACATTTTTAACCATGTAAATATTGCGGATTCATCAGTTGCTACAATATGCAAACCTATCTGAACCTAGAGTCTGAATTCTTCGGGATCCGTTTTCCTTGTTTGATGGCTTCAATAGTAAAAGCTCACTGCAGGGAAGAAGGGAATAATCAACTTTCCATGTTGGTGGTGGCTAGGATGAGAACTAGCGGGTTTAAACTACAGCAAGATTTACATTATATGTGAAGACAGTCTCCCAGGAATGGCTGGAGACTGACCTAAATGTGTCAAACCTGCCTTGGGGAAAGAGGGGATCTCAGCGCTGCCTGCAAGTCCTGCTTGTCCTGTTAGTTCACAGTAGCTTAATCCTTACTGAGATCTAACATAAAAGCCGTGTAATATTATTTTAGATGTCTCAGTTCACCATTCTCAGCTTTAAGAATTAGAGTTGGCCAGAGGATAATAGTTTCTTGCTGCAGTAATACTTGCAGGTTTACATGTATTTATTTTCTGCTCTTCGCCGGATTAAAGCTATGTTCTTTCAACACAATATCATTCTACTGAAAACATTCATTTTCCAGTCATCTGCTCCACGTATTTCCTTTATCATTCTCTGGTTTTGGAGTCAGGAGTGCCACAGAGCCTGGCTGTTATAAGCTTTTCCAGAAGAAATCAATTTTAGCAGAAGTGACTCCGCAAAGCATTCTAGCTTCCATGAAGCTCTCTGTTTTGAAGAAATATGTTTAGTTGAAATAGGCTTTGCTCTAGGAAAAATATAAAGCCAAAACCTATCAAACTTCCATTGTCCAGCAAGGCTGTTCAAAGCCATCCATCACTAATTGTAAGATGGCGCTTTTGACTAAAATGGAGCAAACTGGACCCACAGAGCCTGTTCCCTCCTCACAGAAGTTCATGGGAGTTTTGCTTTGCATTTAGTTCACTGTTTACAGTTTCAAACTCGTAATCGCATTTCATACATACAGGCCTTTTGGTTTCAATGAAAAAAAGTGCATGAGTAAGAAGTAACTTAGTGAAAAAAGCTAGTGTAAACAGGACCATAACTTGATAAAAATAGTTGATCCATGTCTTTTACTCATCAATATTACCATAAGATCGCTTCCTTGCTACAGAGAAAGTCATTGCAGTTAATTGGGAATCACCCACTTTCACTGAAGTCCCATGCAGTTTTTTAGCACTCATGAAGTAAATCCAAGCTTGCTGATCTTTTCCTAGCCGCTGCAGAAACCCCCAGTCAGTGGCAGCCATCAGTATGGACAGACGAGTAGTCTTAAATCCAGAACTTTAAAATTAGAGACATTGTTTTGAAAAGTATTGGTACTAACACTGAATTACTTTTCATTTCTAAGGCAAAAATCTGTGGGGTTTATGTGTGTGTGTGAGAGATACCATTGAAACACCAGGAGCGACTATTTAAAATATTTTTCTGGCATCCAAACCAGATCATTCCATCTTGAAAAGAAAACGTGGACACTAACTTCCATTTTCTTTAGTGGATACAGAGGCTGTTCATCTCCATGGAGCATTAGACTTAAAATGTCTACCTTTGTATAGATTAAAAATAAAGCTTAGCACAATTAAATGTCCTTGAAACATGAATAATGTATAATCTTTAATATACTATATAATTCCTAGATTCCACAATTTATTACATCCTCACTTCAGAGAAATCCAAAGAATTATTTGCATGCTTAAAGTTAAGCATTCCCCATAATTTTTTTTTGACCAGCATTTCTTAGGGCTATTACCAAGGGGAGACAAAAGTCAAATGTGAGAAAACTTAACCTTGAGATGCTTGAGAGACCCTAACGTGACCCTACGTGAGAGCTCTTTGCGTCTTCCTGGCTTTAGAGCAAAGCGTTAATTTACCAAAGCTAAAATTCTGTTCTTGAGCAAAAAACTCTTACCAGTCAGTGGTCAGCTTGCTGATTTCCGCAAAAATGGCATAGCGTTATAAGCATGATTTTCATTCCATCCTGAAATAAATCTTGAATGTTCTTCTAGTTTGCCAGTCAGGTTCACCTGCTCTCTTAATTCAACAAGTTCCTTTGTTCCAGTGCTATTTCGATTTAGTTTGTTATTCTTACCTGTAAGGATGGCTAGAATTGGAAGTATCTCCAGCATCGTTGCAAACATTTCCTTGACGTTGGGAGAGAAAAGAGACCAGATGCTGCTTCTGACTTCGACGAACACTCAACTGTTTTTTTTTTTAAAGTGGGTTTTTGTTTTCCTTATCAGCTGCCTATCAACACGTCAATAAGTTTTTTTCATTCTCCTTCTTTATCACGTGTGTGCCTTTCTCTGACTAGTGGTGTGACTGTTCAGTTGAAATCATTTAGTGGGGTTTGAGCAACTGAGGGGTTTGTTAATAATAAACCTTTGAATCAGAGAAGCCCAGATTCTCCCACTTTTGCCAGGGCCTGGCAGTATTTGCCTACCTAAGTACTTCCACTGAGTACAAGAAGAGTATTTGTGGAGCTATTTAACAGGCAATCTGATTACCAGTGTTGGAGTCAGGCCTAATATGAGTAAGGAATAATCTTTATTTCCTGTTAATTCTGTCATTTCTTTTTAAAAATGGGCATGTGGAGATAACACATTGGACTCATGATTGCCTTGAAATTTCCGTACTGAACTCATCAATAAGATAACACACTGAAATAAAGATAAAATAAACATTATCTTCTGAACTGATAATAAAATCTGCTTCATTAGTTTTAATCCATGAAGTTGGATGCTACTAATACAAAATGACAAGGTGAATATATTGATTTTTATTTAAATGTTAATACCTGATTTATATAGTGAAAAAGCAGTGGATGAAGGTTAGGACTTGAAGAACTAGTTACGATCATTTACAGTGGATTACTTTGTCCTTACTGGATGCAAAACGCCTTCTCTAAGTCTCTGAAGCTCATTAGGAACTGAAGGTGCTCAGCTTCTTGCAGGAGCCAGCTTGGCTTGCTTTATTCCCTGTCACTTGATTGAGTCTAATTCAAAGCCCCAAGCTGCGATGGGAGTAGCTGCTCCTGTGTACACAGCGAGTAGCTGAAGACGTAACAGAGGGCAGCATTGCCTTTTAGACGTGTGCCTGTACCCAGGACCAAGACAATTAAAATGGTCAGTGACTTTTTTCCCGTGCTTGTTGAAAACATGGGTCTCGTTCATGCCTGATGATCCCGTCTTTCTAGTGGCAGGCAAGGGCGGCCACCCTTTCCATGGCAGGGCCCATGCTGCGGCTCGGGAAGCCCTTTTGGCAGGTGGGGCTCAGCGTCTGGCCATGCGTGGTTGGAGGGGAGAGGTATGCCCAGGCGCTCCCTCATCTCTGATGTGATGTGGTGGTAGATTCTTCAGCACAGAAGTGGTGAGTTACTGGTTGCATCAGCTGCTATTGGGATCAGGTTTATGGCCTCGGGTAATTTTGTTCTGCTAGATATTTCTGTGCATGGCAGATGCCTAAATAATGTCTGGACAGATGTCAGGGTTTGAGTATATTCCTACATGAGCCATCTCCAAAAGTTTTATAAAAGATGTCTTTTCCTTAGTTCTGGCAGCACTTCACACAGCATTCCCACAGGGTGGGCAGTGCTTGCCTTTTTGTGATGGGGAGGACAAGACTTGGAACAGTTAAATTTTTCATCCAAGGATGCGCAGGTGACACAGAGTCCAGAAAGGAGTATGTACTTTGAAAGACTGAAATTCAAATTCAGGTTTCTTCCAAAACATGAAAAGCGTTTAGATTCACCTTCACTAGAGAAGCATGGAGGGATCCCAAATGCACATGGGAAGTTCTTACTGGCTTTCCCCAGGTCAGCCTAAAATGGGAGCTGCTGCTGCTGTTTTCCAGTCATTTAGCTATGGATGAGCACAAATGATCTGAACGTGAGCGCAGTGTACAGACCCAAGATCGCCTTTGGCAGCTCCATAATACCCAGAAGGAATCTCACTAATAGCTCACAGAGCATTGATCCTTTGCAAAAGACAGCAATTTTCAAGAAGATGCAAAAAACGTTGCCACCCCACACGGCAGGTCAGCACGCACCTGCATAGACCTGCGTGTTTGCTATAATATCAGCGTGTCCTCTAATTCCCTCTCATTTATCAGCACCGAAGTCCTTTCTCTGGTACTTGAGGCACCCTCCGTTAATATACATTTTCTCCCTGTTTTATTCACTTTTTGTGAATTAAGTCTCTGAAGGATGACAGAACTACATTCCTGGAGGGTGAAATGCTCAGTTTGACCAGAGAACAGGAGCCAATAACACAACTTGTGCCCTAATATGCGCCCGTTTTAGCTTGGGATGCAGGGCTGAGATTACCAATTACGGAGCGGGTTTATCTCGTAGCGAATGATTACAACCATCAATCCTTTTTTACAGAGGATACTGAACACCAGTAGTATTTACTTTTGACTATTACCAGCCTGGGGCTCATTTCACACCGTCAAACCAGAAGCGTGTACCCCTAAAGCTAATCTTCCAAGCCATCCAGGGTTATTCTCCTGTGAAGGTAATAGATGGTACCTGTCAGCTGCTGGTTTTGCTTCTAGCTCATTGCTACTAGAGCAGCACTGCCTGTTCAAATGTCACCTTTGGAAAAGAACTGAACACAGAAAGCAAAATCTGGTTTGGTTTGATGACGGTTAAGGTTAGGTTACAGTGGGACAACGAAGCAGCTCTCGCTTACACCGCTGGCCCTTGGCTAAGAGGAGAGAACAGCCCAGAGTGCAGCAATGGCAGCAGTCACTTTGCCATGGGTGGAGCAAAGACTCTTTATCTCGAGATAAAATGGAAAGGGCCAGTACCAGGAACTGTATGTTAACAGACTTTGTGACTCAAATCTGTGTACACTGAAACGTATTCAGAAATGTTCCCTTCCAAGCAACTCCCTTGTATTCACTCTATAAATAGGAGTGTCAGTCATTAAAAAAATGAGGCCCAGAGGCACACCCAGAGCAAGGCCGCATCGCCCAGCCACGCACTACTCCGATATTTAGGGGTTGCTTCTGTCGCCCTGAAACCTAGTTTTAAAACTTCCTGTAGAATTCCATGTTTAACTTGACAAAGATCAGCAACACGTCAACTGCTTTGTCTTCCTGAAATATGCTAAATGCGTGATTGTTCAAAGACACCAAACCCAGCATAACGTGATTTACAAAGCTCTCTAGTTCGGTATCACATCTGATTGCTGGGATGAAGAGTGCAATTAAAGAGTCAAACAAGTACAGTAAAAAAGCTGCTTTAAGCCTCTAAATCCATCATTAGGTTGACCTTCCAATGCACTTTACAGTTTGCTTGCTTATTGCAGAGCCTCATTTGTTGTCTAAAAAACATTTATAAGCCTTTGCTGGAGTGTTTGCTGCCTAAAAGTTAATTCATGAACTCACTGTTATTTTCAAGCTCACAGAGAGTGGAAGTCTGTAAAGGTACTAATAATATAAACTCTTCTGAGGAGAGCACCATGGCTTGTCACCTCAGCTTGGTCAGAAATATGCTTAATCCTCTGTATCCACTTCCCAGAAAAGGCAACAGCTTATTATCAGAAAGCACAGTACCTTTTCCTTATAAAGGTGCTGGAATGGTCTTTTGTATATTGCCCCTTTTCTCACTCCAGAAAGAAGTACTTTTTTCCTCCTAACCATTCAAAAGGCAGGGTCCCCTAGAGCAAACTCTTTATCCAACAAGCCTTCCTCTTTCTGGGGGGAAAAAACCAAAAAAGCACTGAAACGAGATACACCAGATTGGTGATTGCCAGGGATTAGAGGGCTGCGTGGCCAGGCACCAGCATGTTGGGCTGGGTTTGGTGGGTTTGTATCTGGGCTTTCTGGCTTCCTTCATATGCTTCTCTGCTAGTGTCCTGGTTTTGGCTGGGACAGAGTTAATTTTCTTCCTAGTAGCTGGTATAGTGCTGTGTTTTAATAACAAATAGTTATTTGGTTAGTGTTTTAATAGCAAATCTTCCAGGCAAAACATCACTAATCGCTGCAGAGCACAGCAAACTGCAAAAACGAACACCAATCTTTAACAGCTAGCCAGTGTCTCGAGGTGGGTTTCCTGGGCACGGCGGAGCAGCGCGGGCTCACGTGTCACATCTGGCTGCAGTGCCTTCGCAGGTCCCTGTCCTGAGGATGGCATAAAAGCTGTTGGGTCGGTGTTGTGGGTGTATCCTGAGCAGTTCTGGCAGCCCTAAGCATGCCTCCTCTTCATCCTGCTTGCCAGTCAGCAACTTCATCCCAAGAGAGAAACTTTGCCTTATTGTAAGTGGTGTGTATCGCATTATGCTGAGTTCCAGCTAGATCTCCCATGCTCCGCGTGGTTGGAATACCTCCTGTTTTGACAAGTGATCTGTCAAGGCACATGCTGGCAATTCCATAGGTGAGTCTGTGCTGAAGTCGGTAGCCCAGGGTGCAGCTAGGGGTGCTCATCGGTGCTTGAGGTTTTCATTTTTTCCCTTAAACTTACAGTGGAAATGTACAGAGAAAGCTATTCAAGCATCCAGCATCATTTTTATCAGGGTAAGAGTGGATTGCAGTTCTGGCCCTGTCCTAGCTGGGGAGAATCAGTCTGTCCTTGACGCACCCCTGGCAGTTTTGGGTGGACATAAGCACTTTTCACTGCCTGTCAGGGACAGGTGTGTTGTTGGGTGCAGACGGGCATCACCCCAAAGCTGGCTGTGCTCTGCATCCTCACCAGCGTGCTAAGGAGTAACACCTGGGGAGCACTTCGACTATGTATGAATTTTTATTTTATACACGAGCACTGGTAAGCCCAGGTTTATCAGCACTGCTCTCCCAGTCGGTGGCTGTGACGGCTTGAAGATACCCTGACTCCCTTACCGCATCCTTCCCACCACAACCTTGTGCTTCCCGTTTCCCCATTCCGGCACTGCCCGCACTGGCATTTCCAGCACAACCCCATGATTTCTCTCCCGCTCCTCAGAAGCTGTGGGCTGTGCAAGCCAGCTGGAGGCTGGAGAACTTCAATGGGAGAGGAAAGGGACTGAACGCCTTCCCCAGCACAATGAGCCATGCCAGTCCTGTAACTCCCCCCACACCAAGGCTGCCTTCATCGCTGTAATTGCTTCGCTGATACCGTGCACGATGGCTCATTTTGCTTACGGCAGGGGTTACCATAAAATCACACACAACTCTCCAGAAAAGGCACCGTCACTTGCTGGCCTGA